TAAGCAAAAGTTTAGCTGAGGACGAGATGCAAATTACAGACATCATTTTTAATCAACTTGGTGGTCTAAAGTACTTTTTAAAAGCAACTATTAACTAAACATCTGATCAAGCCAGCTGGTGCATCTACATTTTGGATAGCGGTCATGACAGCGTGGTTCGAGGTACAACGAAGTGAATGACATTCTTACTCAGCCTCTTTTCAATAACGAAAAGATACGTTACAAAGGTAATTCGCTTTTTCTGAAATATTGGATGAGAAATGGAATAAAACACACTTACCACGTTTATGACAGGGGACGGATGAAAACAAAAGAAGAAATGAAACACACAATAGAAACTATGCAGGCTTTGACTTTGATTATTATGCTATACTAAATGGCCTACTAAAAACAGTGACAGGGCGACTGAACCAGAATTACACACTGGAGCACAGTCAGTGTGCAGCAGTTGTGTGTGAAAAAATTAGTGCTGAAAGTCTTCAGGTACTATGTAGCAACAATCGGGAGTTAGGACGAATTGTCTTGGGACGGGAGCAGTTCCATGTATGCGGTAAGAACTTTTGGTTGAAAAAGCTTGGAGTGGATATAGCAGATAGGTAAAGTCTAGCACATATTGCCACACAAGAATCTCGCTTTTGCCTTCTCCTTTTTAAAATACTTCACAATATATTCCCAACAATTACCTTGTTGAATAGGACGGGCATAACATCTTCAGAAATGTGTGAATATTGCGGTGTAGCAGACTTTGTCGGACACATATTTATCACTGCTCATGATTAAGGGGATTTTGGAATCATGTGTTTCAGCTGCTCTTCCAAATCACAAATAAACATTTTCCGATGACAGACGCCAATATTCTACTCGGCGTGAGAAAGGACGGTGGAGTAAATAATAGTGTAGTAAAAAACTGCAAATCATATTATACTGATTGCAAAAATGTTCGTCAGTAAAATGAGATATGGTGATGTAAAGTATATTTTCATATTGTTTGATATCGAATTTGAACACAGGAAAAAGTTTCTATAATGTTTAATATCATATATTTCACTCTATTTAAAGCAAAACACAATGCATATCGATAACAACTTTTTTTCTATTATTTTCTAGGTGCTAGCGGCGACCTTCTTTAAATGTTTATATATCCATGTTCTTGCTTCAAGGAGCTGTACCCAGGGTTCATCAATAGCTTATGTGGTGGGGAGAACATTGTTTTAATATGCTGCTTGCAACACTGCACAAATAATCTGAACGAAAGGAAAAGGTAATGCACTTTTAGTTACATAGTATAATATAATGGTATTGTATTATGACTCTGTTCAATACCCCTTTAGACATAGTTAATGGACGCCTTGTGTTTGGGAGAAAAGATGGCAAGTCTTTATAATATAACCATTCCCTCAGCACCCTGTTCACAATATTATAATTAATCTCACTATATGTGCACATATGATATGTATACGTCTCTCTTTCTCTTCCTTTCTCTCCAATCCCCATACTTTTCACTGTGTCCTACTATCTCTATCTCTTTCTGTCTTGATATGGCTATCTATCTGATTACCTTCCCCAGCCTATAACTTCATATCATCGCCGTCATATTCATTTCCCGCCACTAAGCCTCTCCTCTCTCTCCAACCCCTACTGTCCCACCCGCTCTCTCTCTCTCTCTCTCTCTCTCTCTCTCTTTCTCTCTCTCTCTTTCTCTCTCTCTTTCCCTTTCTTTTTCTATCCCGTTTTTTCTCTGGTCATTTCTAACCATTAAAACAGATTCAGCCAGCATTTTCACAAAATTGGCTTGTTGAATGTAGAAATTGCTTCCAACGTTAGCATTGGAATTAAACCAATATTGGACGAGACCGTGAGGATTCAGACACAGGTTACTTGATTTGGGAGTTTGAGGTCGCTCCCCCTGAGGCGAGGGGATACAATATTCTTTGTAAATTGTGCCCTCTCAACTCAGGTTCGAGGATCCTGTGTCAGAATCTCCGCAAGCTCAGTTGGACTCGAAAAGAATACTGGGGGCAAATGATCAGGGAGGATAATGCTGCAATGTTAAAGACCATAATCTGCCAACTTGCTACCTACAACCCACTTACAAATATCCCAACATACCTGCCACTATACTGCCTTCCCACTTTGCTCCTCTCTACACTTGTCTTGGCCCGATAGAATAGGCTAACACTAAAAATGTCATCTTAGCAGAGACTGAGCCTACGATTTTGGAACTTCACGGTGACCGTAAAGATGGTTCCAGTAGAGAACGGGATAGAGGGTACCCACATCCCTCGTGACTCATTGGAGCAGAGGAAGATAGGACTAACGTTAAACATTACTTAAATGCAAACCCTCATCATCACTCATCACCATTATTATATCTAAAATCATCACCGCTCTCAGATCAATGACTTACATCTATAATCCTGGAATCTCTATCTGCTGTTACACTTACTAGTTATACGCACGTAATACACTATTGGACACTATCATAATATGCACTTTTTTCTACTAATCAGATGGCGTCAATCTCATATAAATGGGCAAGGGAAACAATACTATTCCTCAATTACAGGAAATATGTTCACGCAGGGGACCCGAATTCGATTCCTGAATGGGAATGGTTTTTACTAACTAAGTCGGTCTTTCTGGTGGGATATCGTACCCCTCTCGACCCGAGTTTGCCCTGGCTGACATTGTTGAAGCCCACCTCCAAAAAGATCTCAACTGTCTCGGTGGGGATGTAAAGACACTAACATTTAGAATGAAATGTAATCCTCAAGGACGTTCTTAAAGTATACCATTTTCTTTAATTTTCCCTTTTTATTTAGGTACATTTTCTTTCTGTTGTTGTTGTTGTTGTTGTTTTTTGGTTTGAGGCATCAATGATCTGTGTCAGGAAAACTATTTCACAGCCTCACCTTCTAGTGACCACTTGAACAACTCTGAGTCGATGTTATTGACGTCACCACCGTCATCTCGCAACGTGTCCAGTCTGTTCACAAAGTCCGAAGACACGGCACGCATTGATGTCACGTGGTTACTCAACAAACTGGGCTTGAGGATTGGCTTCTCGAGGGCGCTCCGCATACGACGCCAGTTTTCACCATTGCTAGTTTGAGTGGAAAAGAATCAGATAATGGTGGTTTAGATACAGGAACAACACTTTGAATAAAACGACGTAAACATAATTTAGTCCAAATCAACTTCGTGACTAATTGAGACTATAGATCTTATGAGGGTATAGTGATAAGGGGGACGTCCCTGGGGTGCTATATTAAGGTACTAAGACATCCCAGTTTGAAATGAGTCAACTGGGCAGTCTTAGATAATTATATTGCAGTTTTATCTATCCATTGCATAGAAAAGCAAAACAGTCACTAGTATCTTTAGAAAAATAAAATGGACTTTAATTTACTTCTGGCAAACTTAAAAAAAATATTATTCTTGTTTTCTCTCCCTCGTTGAGGCCTACAGGAAGACAAGCAATCCCCATAATACTATTAAGAAAAAAAAATAAGATTGCTAATGGTAGACAGTTTTTTTTAAATCTGAGTAGAGCGTTTAGTTTGGTCTTGTTCTCATCGGCGGGATATAATAACAAAATTGTCACTTACGACACCAAGATGGCTTCTGGTTGAGATTTTACTCTGTAGTATTCTGCTAGCGGCTGCAGTGGTCTTCGAAATGGAAAATCTCCTTCATTTCTGAAAAAGAGTAAATAATTGTCATTTTAAAAAATGGACTCTTAATAGTTAGTAGATTCTTGAAGTCTTTTGATACTGGCACTGTTGGTAACAAAGCGATCGAAAATGAATACAATGGGTCCTAAAATATAAGCACATGATCATCATGATTGAAATGAAGTATTTTTTATTGACCAAGCTTACGATGGGCAACATATGAAAGAGTTTTAGCTAAATGCTCAAGTTTCAAATATGTCTCATGGTTTAATTTGAGAAGGGAAAGAGCTTGATTTAAATCCAGGAAGAAAAAAAGTTTGAGAAAGAGAGAGAGAGAGAGAGAGAGAGAGAGAGA